ACGAGTTGATGAGTCGACTGACGGTTGATGAGTCGACTAACGGGTTGATGAGTCGACTCAAGAAAACGCCTCCAGATAGCAAAATGCTTCTGCTGAGTCGACTCATGAAAATCATGAGTCGACTCATGCAGGCCAGCACAGTTTGTGCACATTTTTAGTCAACTATGAGTCGACTGGTGATCATGAGTCTACTCATCTCTGTCATGAGTCGACTCATCGAGGTTTCCTGGGCAGACTTGGTTTCTATTTTGAAGGAATCCTAGCTGGGTTTTGTTTTGGTTATTTACCAGATTGCCACCACGTTGTAAACCCTATAAATAGGGATTGTTTAGGGTTCTAAACAAGGAGGTTAGAGACCAGATGTAGTCCTAAAGAGTTTTAGGTCTAAGAGAGATCTTGATCAAAAGGATTAGGGTTTAGATTGAGATCATCTAAAATCTTAGAGAGATATTCTAATCTTTGTATTAGGGTTTAGAGAGGATTGAGAGGCTGTTCTCGATTCTAGTGAGATTGTGAGGGAGAGATTACACTCTTTTGTTCTTCATAATCTAGAGAAGATATTTTCCTTCGCCAAACTAAATTGTTTTGTGTTTTGGTCGTCTTCTTCTCAACCCACCTTTTGGTAATTCCGCGATCAAAGGGTGCTCGCACGGCAACTCGTATTAAGTTGGTATCAAAGCATCAGATCTGGCGAAGAGGGCATCCTGTGTATGGTCCTGACTCGATTGCAATACAAAAAGCTAGGCGAGATCCTTTTCTTTGGAAGTAGTTCAGAGATTAAGGAAGAAGAAGATGATTGAAGGCCACAAAGATGGAGGGGCCCGAGAGTTCCCTCAGATTAAGGAAGAAGAAGATGATTGAAGGCCACAAAGATGGAGGGGCCCGAGAGTTCCCTCAGCAGAAGTTCTAAACTTGAAAGGGACTTCAAGTTCTTAAAGAGGGGAGCCATGGTACGTGTGTATCTTCTTCTTTGCTTCGGGAGCTTAGTGATCCTCATGGGAGCTTGAGGATAGGTGTTTCTTAGGATATCTTGAGAATAGTGGTGTGAAGCGACACGGTGGAGCACAGGATGGAGCGTGAAGCAAGTCGGAAGAACGAAGAATCAAAGATTTTAGTTCTCAGCCTGATGAGTCGACTGACAGGTTGATGAGTCGACTAACGGTTGATGAGTCGATTGACGGATTGATGAGTCGACTCAAGAAAAGGCCTCCAGATAGCAAAATGCTTCTGTTGAGTCGACTCATGAAAATCATTAGTCGACTCATGCAGGCCAGCATAGTTTGTGCACATTTTGAGTCGACTATGAGTCGACTGGTGATCATGAGTCAACTCATCTCAGTCATGAGTCGACTCATCGAGGTTTCCTGGGCAGACTTGGTTTCTGTTTTAAAGGAATCCTAGCTGGGTTTGGTTTTGGTTATTTACCAGATTGCCACCATGTTGTAAACCCTATAAATAGGGATTGTTTAGGGTTCTAAACAAGGAGGTTAGAGACCAGATGTAGTCCTAAAGAGTTTTAGGTCTAAGAGAGATCATGATCAAAAGGATTAGTGTTTAGATTAAGATCATCTAAAATCTTAGAGAGACATTCTAATCTTTGTATTAGGGTTTAGAGAGGATTGAGAGGTTGTTCTTGATTCTAGTGAGATTGTGAGGGAGAGATTACAATCTTTTGTTCTTCATAATCTAGAGAAGATATTTTCCTTTTTCCAAACTGAATTGTTTTGTGATTTGGTCATCTTCTTCTCAACCCACCTTTTGGTAATTCCACGACCAAAGGGTGCACGCACGGCAACTCGTATCAATGTGTAAATGGCTTCATTCTAATTCCACTAACCACCAATAAGGTGATATCGTTAAAGTGCAATACCATCCAACCTCCAACTAAGGATGTTTGTGAAGGATACCTAGTGAGCAAATGTAAATACTCAAAAATAATGTTAAGAATTATTTGTTAATCATCAAAACCAGATTAGACAATAGGCTCATAAATATGAGACCTAAAAAAATCATCTTTATTTTCAGTTACCTCATACAACTCCCTCAAACTCCTAAAATTTAGAGGTTGTGGGCTCGATGATGATGAACATGATGGTAAAAAAGTTATCGACTGGGGCGATTGAGGTGTGGTTGGTGATAATATCGTCGGTGATAATGGGGTGGATGTCGTTGGAGCATGTGCTGGAGCATCTTTCCATATCTCGGTTTCTTCATTAATAAAAGTAATCATGCTTCTACAAATTTCTCCTTTGCTCTAGTTCCATGATTTCTCTCCATTGAATTAAACATCTCGGCTAATAATAAGCTTCTTATGGAACGAGTCATACATCTTGTAACCCTTGGTTCTTGAATCATAGCCGATGAATACATATAGAATACTCCTCTCATCGAGCTTATTCCTCTTTAGCTCTGGAACATGAGCATAGCCAATATTGCCGAACACCTTAGAGTGGCTCGCATTTGGCATGTAACCGGTCCAAGCTTCTTGTGGAGTAATATTTTTGAGAATCTGAGCTGGACACCGGTTGATGATATAGACGGTGCAAGAAACAGCTTCAGCCCAAAAGGTTTTAGGTAATTTCTTACTGCTGAACATGCTTCTTACCATGTTCAAAATAATGTGATTCTTCCTCTCAGCAATGTCGTTTTGTGTGGAGCGTAAGGAGCAGTTAGAAAATGTCGAACTCCATGTTGTTCACAATATGCTTCAAACTCCTTTGAAGTTAATTTTTCACCTTGATTTGATCTGGTAGCTTTAAGATAAAAGTCGATTCTTCGACATCTGTACTTTTACAATCAATCTACCTTTTTGATCTCAAAGAAAAGACTATGATCTTTTGTATGAAAATCATAACCCTTTTCTAAGAGTTGTCCCAAACTCAATATATTGCTTTTCTTAGTAATAAAATTTTCTTCTCCATTTTAGGTGAATAAGAATTTTACTTTGGCCTTTCACTGGAATTTTTGAGAAATCTCCAAAAGTGACCTTTCCATTCATAGAGTCATCCATATCGATGAACATACTTCTCTTACGACATATATGGTTGCTGGCACCAGTATCAAGATACCAAACATCCTCCTTATCAACATCTCCTCCGAATGCTAATTGAAGAATATTATAATAATCTCCTTTTTCAACATACTTCACCTTCTCTTCAACTTAATTGTAATAACAATCAGAAGAATAATGACCATACTTCTTGTATTTAAAACATTAAACTTTTATTTTCCATCGGTCTTTATTAGATCTACCATGTCCACGGTCTCTAAAAGATCTTTGATTTTGATCTCTTTCTTCAAAGTTGTGGTGACTTCCTATGCTATAGAAACCACGTCCTCGTCCTTGAAATCTGCCTCGAAATCTTCCACAGCCATGACCGCCATTACTTTCTTCTTTTGAATCTTCTCTGCCATCCTTCAAAGAAAACTTATTTTGAAGAGCCTTCTCCACCGGTTCATTTCTCTTGTTAAGTATATTCTCGTGGGCATTTAAGGAACCCAAGAGTTCATCAATCATCATCTTCTCTAAGTCTTTTGACTGTTCAATGGCACAAACAATATAGTCAAACTTTTTAGGAAGTGATCGAAGAATTTTCTCCACCACACGAACATCTTTGATCTTCTCAACCATTTCTTCGAAGTTGATTCACTACGGCCAAGACTCTAGTGAAATAGTCAGAAACTAGTTCACTTTCTAAAGGCCGACTATGTACTCCAGGAGATACATGAAGGCACCTGCGGAAATCATCCTGGGGCCCGAACCCTCGCATAGAAAGTCATCCGCCAGGGGTACTACTGGCCAACAATTCTACCTGAGTCAAGGCGACTCATTTCTCATTGCCAAAAGTGCTAGTTTTTCTCATCCATCCCTCGAGCAACGGTGACGCGAGCTGATTGGCCGGTGCGAGCTGACTGTCGAGCGCGTAGGTCACTTGATTCGCCATTTCTCTTCAGGCGCTTGTCGGCGTCAGATAATCCTCTTAGACTCAGATAACGACGTTCATCGTCTTCTCTCCGTCTAGAGCTGTGTTCGGGGACCTATAGGCAATTTTTGACGCCTACAGATATATCATTTTAGTAGTAGTTTGTATTTTAAATACTTTTCTTTGTAGACACATTTGTTATGATTTTATGGATATTATATTGTTAATTGCAGTAGTACTCAGTTCATATTCACTCTATTTTTTGGTATGGTTTGATCTCACTAAGGTTTTAAGGTGGACCCGTTGAAAATAGGCATGTTAAGATTACACTACATGATAATTTTATGTTACACCATTTATAATTGATCTGTGTTATTTGGTGTATTGATATACGTGACCATTGATGGGTCTAGTTACGACAAATGCAATGAAGATAACCTTGATTCTATGTGGATACAACTAATGGACGAGATTGTTAAAAATGCATATTATTTGATAGCAAAATTCATGAGCTCATACCATTATATCATAATTCACATTTAAATAGAACATATATGGCCCAAGTGGGAAATTGTTGGATTTATATCCAATGATGGGCCAATATATTAAATAAATGTGTATCGTGTATCAATTAAGGTTAACCCATTAAAGTGATCTAATTTAGGGTTTGGGATTTTAATGCATAATTAAAGTATGTGTCATATGTGTAGAGACCAAAATATAATTGTTAATTCTATGATGGGCTGAATTGATAATTATGAATAACATGATTCAGTTATAAATAGAGTTGTGCTTTCCCATATTTCTACGTACAATCTCTTTCTGATTTTCCATCTTTAGAAAGATTAGGGTTTCCCTAAGGAGGATACATACGTACAAGATTTGGAAGATCTACATCTCAAAAAACTCAAGAATCACATCCTACTCTACGGATTCATGTATGGTTCCACATCTTCTTAATTATCTCAATAGTTTGACATGAACAATCTTGAGATTGATTAGGGTCTAAGTTTTCTTTTGATCTAACAATTAAGACTTGATAGACCGTTTACTCTAACAATCATGTTAGACATTAGCTATAAAAATATACTCCCCGCATAATTATGTTTTTATACACAAAATAGCTATCAAGTAATCATTACAGAAATATGCTTAAGTTTGTTCAGGTGTCAGTATATTGTGATAACAATTCAACAGGAACTGATTCCTTAGCTATAAAGGAGACCAACATCGTGCAATAATACCTTATCCTGGCTCCTCTACGAAGTCTGTTTTCTCTTCTCTTTCTATTATATTTGTACAAATTATTACGACCGTCTACCTTTTGAGGAACTTCTTGAACCAAAGAGCAGAATTCTTGGGGTATCTTTTTAGACCATCATTGTAGGCTACATAGTTAATTCCAAACCGAACAGTGAAACCATCCATCCATTCAAAATTATCCAACAGTGACCATGCAAAGTATCCTCTCACATCAGCTCCGTTTCTGCCAAACAACATTGTAAGTGTTAATTTACATCATGACAATGCAAAATTACATAATGTTAAATCACCCACATCTATAATTAATAACTATACATGGGTGCACGCGTGCATGCATGACATGAAAATGTAAGAAACTTTTGAGAGAATTTGAGATAAACCCATAAAGGGGATCTCTTCAGTTTGTAATATTCTCTCTGCGGTACTCTCTTTGTTCTGTTTTTTCTGAAATAGTAAAAGGATCATCCGTTGTTGCTAGAGAATGTAGAACTTGCTCCAACCTCATGAAATATGTGTTACACTAGTAGAAAACCACGTATTCTAGACGGAATATTCTAGACGGAATTTTTTCCGTCTAGTATTAAACTAGACGGAAAATTTCCGTCTAGAATATTCCGTCTAGGATAAAATATTCTAGACGGAAATTTCCGTCTAGAATAGTATCCTAGACGGTTATTTTATTTTTATTATTTTTTTAAAAATTTATAGTTATTCTAGACAGAAATTTCCGTCCAGGGTACATCCTAGACGGAAATTTCCGTCTATGATACGTGAAAATTTAAAAAAAAAATTTAAGGCATCAAAACCCAGCCCCCCTTCTTTTCCCCCCAAATCGAAAGAGGAAGGAACCCCCCTTACGGGCTCCTTCGTCCCTCGACCGCTCCGGTCAGACCCCCCTCCACTCCGACCTCCCCTTCGCGAGTCCCCTCCTCCGCCGTCTCCTTCTTCATCTTCAAAGCCATCCACCTCCTCGCCGCCGGCAGCTCCAGCTCCTCCTCCTCCTCCTCCATAAAAGAGAAGCGCGCCCTCCAATTCTGGCTCCCTCCAATCGAGGGCTCCGCCGCCCTCAGCATCATCCTCGCCTTCGCCTGGTCGGGGCGCCATATCATCAACATCGTCCTCTGGTCCACCTTCGGCTCCACAATATCAGCAGGCATCCTCCTCCTCTGCTTCGCCATCTTCGTCAAAATCTAGGGTTTGTTGCCGATCAGATCCAAGGGAAAAGAAGATGGTGAGGGGATTGCTCGGAAAGCTCGCGTCTCGATCTCTCTCCATCGCTGGGAAATGGCAGCAGCAGCAGCTCCGTCGCCTCAACATCCACGAGTACCAGGTCCCAAACCTAGGGTTTTTTTCTTCTTCTGATTACTGATGCTATCTCGTTTTGATTCGTTAATATCTGATCGATCTGACTGATCTCGTGTTTAACGATCCGTTTTAATTTTGCGGCAGGGTTCGGATTTGATGAGTAAGCATGGGATTAATGTCCCAAGGGGAGTTGCCGATCAAAGATGTTTTCCCTGGCGAAAAGGAGGTAATTTCGTCTAAATTTCACATGGAAATGTGTCTGCCTCAGGGTTTTCTTTTGTGATGGTATCAAAGAAATATAAATAGATGTAATAATTCTGGCATAAATGTTACTGAAATGGGAAAAATTGGACCTGGTAGTGAGCCATTGGTGTTTCTTTTCTGAAGCTAGCATTTATTTGTTGGATTTGGTTTCACGAACATTCGCCTGCATCTTTGTTCTGCCAGCTCAAATTTGGTAACTCGTAGATAAATATAATATCGCAACTAACTGCTTATGTGAATGTTCGTTGACGGTTATTTAGCTGTAATGTTGAATCGATTTCATAATTATTTGTAATAGTTTGATAAATAATAGTTAGACAAGTTAACCCATTGTGAGTTGATTTTAGAAATTATGTCACTCACTTGATAAATAATAGTTTGATAAATAATAGTTTGATAAATAATTGTTTGTTTTTTATTTGATTTCTGTAACCTAGAGAGCTCTTCGTCGACGATCACGTGACGATGCGGTTTACGATTGAGAATTGCCGCTTGATGAGGATCTCCCTGGAATGGGTCAATTCTATTGCCTCCATTGCGAGTAATTGGAATTTTCTCAATGATTTAGGGTTTCTTTGTTTTTTGTTTGTTTTTGGGGTAAAAATTCTGATATTTGTTTGTTTTTTGTTTCTGCAGTCGATATTTTTCTAGCGAGGCTGTGATGGTAGCGCACAATGGATCCAAGAGACACAGGAAGAGGTAGTTTTTGCTGTTCTTCATTCTGATTGTCATGGGTTTTGTGACTTGTGTGTTGAACTTTGTAGTTAAATCAGTTCGGTCATATAGTTGTGCTGAATAGTTATATATATTCGTTTGGGTTTAGCGAGTTGTCTACTTCTTATGTTAAATGATGAAACAAATGATGGGTCAAGGATTGTTATGTGAATGTGATCTTAGTGAGCAATTGGCCGATTTAGCTTCTGGGATGTGTTAGTTTCTTTGTAATGTAGACATGTCCTTCTTGAATATATTGAATATATTGTTGCTTTTGGATTTGTTATATGCTTTGCTTTTGTATTTAAGATTCAAATATATTGTTGCTTGGTTCAAATTTTGTTCCTTATGTTGTCTTTACTATTTTCAGGTGTCCTTCTTGAATATTGACAATCAGTTTGTTCAACATGTTACTGGAAATATCCTTTCTTCCCTGTCCTGCTTGCTGACGGAATTATGTACGTTTTTAAGATCATCTGTAGTTTTTCTGGTGTCAGATTGCTGGGATTGAATTCATGGAATCTGAATCGTAACTCCTTTATAGGTAAACAAATGGCTTGAATTTATTCATATGCTGTTGATTAGCGTAGACGCATCAATTTCAAGTATTGGTTCTGCGATTAATGAATGATAATCATGTTGTTTTATTATCTATGTTTGCTAGTGCTTCCCTTATCTCATGATTTATTATTTGCATAGGTTTACTCTGAAACAAAGAACTGCCAAAGATGCCAACGGAGATATGTGAGGCATAACATCTTCTTTACACAGGTACCTGTTGATCTTGTTATCGATCACTCAGTTCTGGTGGATGTGGCGAGATCAGCGAATGTTGTTCAGGCAAATTAATAGGAGTCTTAAAAGGAGTTTCTGAATGGGATAAGTCCCAGATTCGAGGGACTTAAACTTAGTATCATATTTGGAGCAAGAGTGTGAGAAGCGGGGAATGCTTGTAAATAATTTATGTATTTTTCTAATTTTTTTTGGTCAATGTATTTTTTGAACCGGATTAAGAATGATTTATGCAAAATAGAAAATAGAAGAAGATAACAGTTGCTAATTAGCAACTGTTATCTTCTTCTATTTTCTATTTTTTTTTTTGTCTCGAATTTTCTTATTCTGCATCTAAAATGAGCATATTTCGTACCTAATATCTGTGATATACAATGAAACCTGTTTCTTGATTACTATCATGTTTCCCCAACCAAACTTCTTATATATGCATAAAAGGATTTTAAACTCACCTGATGGCTCTTTGAATGTAATATAGATGTCGCTGATGAAAGTCTATTCTCGCATCATCCTTTAGAGCTTCCTCCAATGACAATGTTCCATTGCTCACTTCATCAACTCCTATTGATCAATAAAACCTAGTTCAATCATGCTCTGGCTCAGCTAATACAGACGTAAAGAAGAACTGTTGCTCTATTTACCATTCTCTGTAATATAGATGACTGGATGGTTGTATTTGGCATTGATGTAGAGCAAGAGATCTCTAATACCCCTTGGGTAGATATAGAGCCAGCTTGAAGCAGCCTGTATATTGTGCAGGGCAATAACGTACATTTTTTTGAGTAATACTTGGTGCAGACAAGATCACATCATTATTCTAACTTCTAGTGCACAGCATAGTAGTATGGAAAGTGAATGTTAAAAGAGTAACTCTTACCCTTGGACCAATTTGGATACCATTGCGCATCCCTGTTCAACAGAAATTTGTAATTTGAGAATTCAACATCATTATTTGCAAAATAACACCAACTTACTAAACGAATGAAACGTAATTACCCAGCATATTAAAGAAAGAGGTCCAAACATACCTGTTTTATTAAGGCAGCTATCTGTAGTGTAGGTCTTGTTCATCATATTTAATGCTGGAAGGTTATCGACATAATTTGTGGTGTAATAATTAAGCCCAATAAAATCATATGACCCTTTAACCAGTTTCGACTCTTCTTCCGTATATTTCGGGAGCCGAGAACCAACAAGAACCCTCATGATAAATGGATAATCACCCGTAGTCAAGGGGTCCATAAACCTGACAAATTCAAACAAGTTAAAACTTTTACTGAATGCAGACGATATCATAAAATTGCACACTAACCCTTCATACTAACTACTCACCATCCAAACATAAAATCTAGAGCTCTTTCTGAAGCATCCCTATTGGATTTGGTGTTAGAATATGGGACAAACCAATTAGAGACTAGTATAATTCCTATCTTTCCTTTTTGTCTTGCCTGCAAGAAATTGTTCGTAGCAATCAGAATCAAAATACTAATTGTCACCTTACAGGCCAATTGAAGAACAAGAACCAAAGACAAAGCGAGAACAAGAGAGCTCAGGAAACTACTAACTAATCATCCTTTTAGTTTATATTCAACTGTGAACTATATAGGATGGTCAATAATAAAGCTCAATTAAAGCCCTCTGATGCTTATCCATATATTATATATAGGCATCTGAGGACTTTAATTGAGCTTTTATTAATCATCCCATGTTGTACATTGTTGAATATGAACTAAAAGGGTTAAATGCCAATAGACCACCTGTACCATCACCGAACTTTGGTCCCTATACTTTCTTCTATTGTTGCAGATAACCCTGGATTCTTAACTCTGTTAGTTTCTTGTTAAGATTGGGCTACATCACTGAAACGTATGAGCTTCATAAACTGATGTACTTACTAAAAACTTCAATACGATCATTAGATATAACTAATTGAGATGGGAAAACTAACCGATTTGATGATCTAAGGGGTCCCTCTGTATCAGTAGAAGTACAGGGGGTCTACCCCTAATTTAGCGATAGTATAGGGGGTCTATTGGCAACTGACCCCATAAACTAGCAACCGAAACTAAAATCTTGAACCTTACCTTATACTTGTTTCTGTATAGCTTGACAGCTGAAGCATGGGCTATTAGCAGGTTGTGTGCCACAATGTAAGGCTCTCGGCCTGAGTCCCCTTCATCGCACTTTGTGGACTCCCAAGGAGAGCACCTTGCTGGTGCCAAAAACCCCTCGGCATAGCCCCCAACAGCAAAACTCCATGGCTCATTGAAAGTGATCCAGTGCTTCACCCTGTCACCAAACTCTCTAAAGCAGATCTCCGCATAGTTACGAAAATCATTCCTATAAAGTTGAAGGCAATGCAAACCAATTATAGAATCATATAAGCAAAGGCATACTTTAGAGTGAGGAAAATTATGTGCTCTTACACTATATTTGGTGATAAAAAGCTCCCATACTTCTGTTCCAAGCCTTGGGGAGAATCAAAATGGAAGAGGGTCACAAAGGGTTGGACACCTGAGCGTGGTTAAATAGGAAATAAGGTATATGAGCATTATGCATGAGAATATGCAAAGGTACGTAGATTCAAGACCATTCAATATGAGTTCATCGATGAACTTATTGTAATGATTGATGCCCTCTTTGTTTACTCCTCCGCTCAAGCTTCCATCTGCAGCAAGATTATAAAATCTACATATGTTAATAATTCTACAGTTTTGTTATGATTCTTCAAGTGAAGTTTTTTTTTTTTTTTGGTTCTCCAACATAAGAAAGAGAAGTTCCTACTTGGAAAGATCCGAGACCAAGAGATGGAGAACCTGTACGCATCCAAGCCAATGTTCTTCATTAATTTAATATCTTCCTGAAGATATTGATCTATAATTAGCCATTTAATTCCAGAAAAAAAACGAGTCAAAAAACCTGCAAATTTCAATATCAGGAAAAAATATAGTAAGAGAGCAGTGTTACCTTGTAGTGGTGGTAATGGTCTATAGCTATGTCTCCATTACTTCCATCGGCAATCCTCTCTGTACAACAAGTTGTTAGCGGACATTAGCTTTACGTGTCTTATGTGTTAAACCTCTCCAATTGTCCATAGATTATAATAAAGCCATACACTAGTCCTTTTTATTCTTCAATCTTAGAAAACTTACCTGACTTTCTTCTTAGGGGAACAAGGATAAGCAATGATAAGAGTATTGTTCGTTAGGACGGAGTTCGTACAGTATCTCTTTTTTGCGTAATAACAAACTCTCATTTATTACTGATGATTGTTTGAGATGATATATTACATATATAAATAAGTATACAGAAAGATACGAGGCGAAATGATGCAAAAATCAATATATATGTTGATTTCAGCCATCATACCATCGATGGTCATTGACATACAAATGATGGTTACGAGACAATCGATGGACTATAGTGCACACTTGCAAAATTCTAGAAATTAGGTTTGGCAACATAGATGGTCGTCAGGGAACCATCAATGGTCAACACCACAATCGATGGTGTACAGTGTATAAGATAAGTCTCAGAAACTAGTTTTTTAATCATCGATTCATTACACGGAACCATCGATGAGGCATCGATGGGCTATCAATGGTCGGGATTGCCCATTGATGGTGATGACATGTTTTGGAAGATTTGATGATTTAATCTTAACCATTCATTAATCCCTTTCATCTCTAACTTCTACTATGATGCGAATATCTCTTTCGTTATTTACCAAATGTTATATAAGATAGGAAGAGTTCATATTTAGGTGATTCTATGCTTTGAGAAAAGAGAGAGCTTTTTGAGAGATTTTATTCTAAAGTTTGTGAAGAAGATTTGATTTGTGATTTGAATCCCTAGAACCTCATCAAACTCTTTCTCATTGTGCTTAGCATCTGCGGATTGTATCAGCGAGGAGTTGGCCTTGGATTTAACATCATCATCGTTTCTTTATCAAGCTTCGCTTCAATCTTTCAAAGAACTGTTTGCTTAGAAAAAAGCTATAAGATCTTTTTAATTTATGCTTAAATTATTTTAGTAGTTTGTGTTTTATCTTATTTTTACTACATACTCAAGCCGATAATAATTGTGGGTTAAGACTAGGTAGGGCTAGGTGTTAATCATCTGTTAGGAGTTAGGTTAGACGACTAGTTTCGGATAGATTCTAAGGTGCGGTCTTTGTAAGCCTACTGAATTGGGTTGTGATTCAGGTGAACTCTGATGACAGTGAGGATTCCCCTTCTTGATAAGGAAGAGTGAACATAGAATTATTATCTGAACCACTATAAAAACCTCACATGTTCCTTGCTTGGTTTTTAGCTTGGATGTTTGCTTTTATTTTTCCATTTTCGCTACATATTTTGTATCTTAGCCAAAAATTATTGCAAACATATTCAAACCTTCTCACCCCTCTCTAGGCTACAAGTGGTATCAGAGCCTCGTTACTCATCTTTAGATTTCACAATCTAGATGTAAAATTTCACCACCGTAATGGCATTTCATGAGGGAAACGTTGTGAACCGACCCCTACTTTTAGATGTGACTAACTATAGCTATTAAAAAGTATGAATGAAAGTCCTTCTATTGTCCACTGATTTTGATGTTTAGAATACTATAGAAAATGGCTATAATGAACCTATTACTATTGTGGAAGGGGTTTTTGCTGTCACACCGAGGAATAAATGGACACCACTGGACAAAAAGCTTTATTCATTAAATACTAAAGCTACGAATACTCTTTATTGCTCTTTAATGGCTAAAGAATCTAACGTGTTTTAAATTATACTACGACACAGGAAATTTGGAAAATATTGGAGGTTACACATGAAGGAACTTCACAAGTGAAGGAGGCCAAACTCACAATGCTCTTTAGAAAATATGAGAATTTCAATATGAATGCCTCGAAGAGTATTTAGCAGATGTTCACATGAATCACCAATATCATGAACAAATCTAAAGCTTTAGGATAAGAATACAATAATAAAGAGCTGTGTAGAAAAATTCTTCATTCTCTTTCTAGGAATTAGAAGCCAAATTTAATGGTTATTGAGAAATTATAAATTTTTTCTAACTTAACTTTTAAAAATCTTGTAGACAATCTTCTAAATTTGATTAAAGAGAGAGAAGATACTTTTGAAGATAATTCCAAGAAAAAGTCATTAGCCTGAAGGTCAATAATAAGAAATCTCAATCTAAAAAGAAGAAAAATTCAAGCTTGAGTTTAGAGGATGAAGATAATGAAACTGGATTCATTGTGAAAGGATTCAATGAAAGGATTCAAATCTTTTCTCAGGTAAAAAAGGATGAAAATACCTTAAAATGGATGAAATCAGTTTACTAAGAAGGTAAATAGATACTCATTAAGTGAATCTGAAATTGAATCTATCTGTTATCATTGTAAGAAGCTAGGTCACTATAAGAACTAGTGCCCTTTAAACAAAAAATGACAAGAAGATGGCGGTAAAAGTTTCAAAGTGATGACCTTGGATATGATGAGTGATGAATAATCAGAAGTTAAATCAAAATCGGATGAGAAGAAGGCAAATCCATGTCTTATCGGAAGAAACAACACAACTTTGGATTCAAAAAAAGACAAAGCATATGAATCAGAAAGTGATAACTCAGAGAGTGAGGTATATCCCCCATATGATGATTTATATTCTAATTATAAAGAAATGCTTAATCAACTCGAGAAAATTGCTGAGAAATATGACAAGACAAAAGGATGAATGTAAATTTAAAAGAAAGAAAAGAAAATCTTATGTGAGAAAATTAAATATTTTTCTTCAAATTTGGATTCACAAAATTTACATTGTAACATAAGTACAATCGAAAGCGATGTTCTAACTTTCAAAATCAAATTTCTTATTTATTTAAATAACTAAATGATAAAATCATTAAAAATAAAAAAACTAATTGCTAAGGTAAATGAGTTATTGTGATATTTGTCTTCCAAACAAATGAAGTTTTAAAATGGATGCAGAACTATTATTTCTAAAAATGAACAACTAAAGTCAAAAAATAATAATTTGGAAGTGGCCGTGAAAAAATTACCATTGGGCTCTAAAGGATTAAGCATGGTCCTTTCCGATCAATGTTTTGCTAAAACTAAAATTGGACTTGGTTGTTCATACTTAGGAAAACACAAAAGTCACAATCTTTTTTTTTTTTGTGAAAGAAACAATTTGCATTGTTTTGCACCCATACCTGATGCTACTTATATCATTTTATGTGTCCTTTATCTGGTAAAATGGGTCATGTATTAATGAGTTGTCGGATGAGGTACAAGATTAAAATAGTAAAGCAAATTTAGGAACCAAAAGGTACAAGTCCAAACCAACATGAAATCTATGTGGATACATAGGTCAGACTTACTTTCTATAGAGTTACAGAACGACTGAGGATTGAGACAACACACGGGAGTTACTCAAAGAAGTTTCTAAATCAAAATTCAATCCTTGTTCTAAATAAATATATGAAGATACAGGTTGTGTATGATATTTTTATTATCTCCTTATATGAGTATGTCATCTAAGGTATCATCTATAAACCCAGTTATTTATATTTTTTTCTATTTGAAAAAAAAAATTCTTTATTTTTCTTCTTCTCTATTTATTTTCTTTTCTTTAAAACATGAACACTTTAGGATAAACATCGATGATCCAACCCCAACCATCGATGATTAACCATCAATTGGCAAAAGGAAAAGTGGGGTAGTCAGTTTGTTTTTCACTTTTACCTCTTTTACGAAATTATCTCTCAAACTTTTTGATTACTCCAAACAATTCAAGTTTTTGTTGTGATCGAGCTCTTGCTTGTGAAGAGTTTATCATTGGACTTGTGAAATCTTGACTTTGTTTGATTCATCATCAAGGTATTTTGTAAACCCTAATTGCTTTGTTTGATAAATTTTTAGGGTTTCTACTTGGCTATGTGACAAATTTTGATATATATGGATGATTCGTGGTTGGAATTTAGTGCTTAGAACTAGTTTGATTGAGATTTGTACATAAATTTGTGTGATATAGGGAAAATTTCATCAGTTTTAATTATTGATGGTTGAAGAAATCATCGATGGTGTGTAAACCATCAATGCTTGTCAAACATCTAGCGATGGTCAAAAGGCTGAAACTATAAATTTTTACACTTTTTTTGTATTTTTGTAAATGTTGATGATCCTAACCCATAAATGTGTGTATTCTTTATATAAATCATGTGCACTTACATTTGTAGGGCATTGCTTCACAAATCAGCTCCCGTTGAGGATAATTAATTGTGACAGAGATTCAAGAGCTTTATGAGAAGTTCTTTATCATCTACGAGTGTTTGGTGGGAAAATTCAAAGAAGATAATTGAGAATTGAATTTGTATTATTCTCTCTGACAGACTCAGAAAAAGAAATTAATTACAATTCTCTCGATACAATTTCTCTCTAACAAACTTAGAAAAATAAATTACAATCTTCTTGAATCAGATTCTTGATTTACAAAAGAGAAGAGGGTCGACGGAGATCCTCCCCTTTGTTTAAAATTAGGTTCTTTGTGATAGAGATGAGATGTCTCCCTCGACGTTCGTGCCGAGTTTGCTTCTCGTTGACGATCCGATCACCTCGCTTTGTAGAACGTAGTTGATTCCTCTTGATTGACGTTGAGGAGAACTTGCGTGGTAAGTTTCAAACTCTTGACGAGTTGATAACTCAAAGCGAGTTTAAACCCTTAAAAAAGAGTTGATTTGAATCGAAAATCGGTTAATAAGCCAAGGATGAAAGCTTCAAGAACTCTCTGTTGCCGAGGATGCTCTTGGTCGAAGAATGCCGACTTCTCCTTTGTGTCGTTTTGATCTCCAAAATTTTAGATCGAAGATCCCCAACTCAGCCGAGTTTTTCACATTTATAGGGGTTTTTAGGGGTGTAACTGCCTCATAAAATCTCTCCTTAATGGGTGTAACCGACCCTATGTCATGGAAAACAGTTTTGAAACCGTTCAAGGGTTTAAGGGGTGTAATCTTCCCTCTAAAATTTCTCTATAATAGG